TGCCAGTGTATGACATAATGAAGGCAGCTGGATGGTCCCAAGAGGACACAGTTACTTAGTTTTACAAGAAACAAACTACCTGTAATTTTGGACAAGCATTGTTAAGTGCTTATTGGAAAGCTAAATAAATGTGCTGGATCAAACTGAAAAAGATGTCTTTGTTCTGCGTCCTTTGCTCATAGCCACAGGTCTAAAGTTTCATATTACCAGGATTTCCTGACGTCACAGTAGGTGAAATTAATAAGGAAATAAGCGAGGCTTACCTTGGAAGGTGAAGCTTGTTTCTGATTTTACCGTTCCTGACGACATAGTCGGTAAAATCAGAAACAAGCTTCACCTTCCAAGGTAAGCCTCGCTTATTTCCTTATTAATTTCACCTACTGTGACGTCAGGAAATCCTGGTAATATGAAACTTTAGACCTGTGGCTATGAGCAAAGGACGCAGAACAAAGACATCTTTTTCAGTTTGATCCAGCACATTTATTTAGCTTTCCAATAAGCACTTAACAATGCTTGTCCAAAATTACAGGTAGTTTGTTTCTTGTAAAACTAAGTAACTGTGTCCTCTTGGGACCATCCAGCTGCCTTCATTATGTCATACACTGGCAGGCCACATCGTGAGGCTGCAGACGGGCTAGCAGCCCGAGTGCTGTGAGCAGTGTAAACAGAAATGTCAATGCCTGATAGCTCTAACATTGCTTTTATCCACCGTGCAATGGTGTCTTTACTGACTGGCTTAAATGGGCTCTGAAAACTTAACAGCATCTGTGTTATTTGATTCTGTACACGGTGCTCTTTGGTTCCTGAAAGGTGTTCTTTCAGGACTTCTGTGATACAAACGTTTTTATTTGGAGGGAAATGAGCCAATTCTATCGGCTGTAAATGATTCCCGTTTCTGGAGTGTTTTAACACGTATCCATAATAAATATACATTTCTCGCCCGTCAATTTCATTTTGTGAGTGCTGAGTTTGTGAATAGTTTGACATCTCTGTCCCGTAAGTAAGGCTAAGAGCATTACCAGTTTATAAGTAATTTCCTTATGGGAAAGAGAATCATTTGGAACCCATATTTCCACGACATTAATGACTTGTTTGGGGTCCTAAGTAATATGTTTGGAAGATCTAGGCAAACTAGGCTTTTCTTCAAACACTCCTTTCATAAATCGTTTGACAGTAGGAAGATTGCCAAATGTGGTATGATCATGAGTATTCAAACAGTAGGATAAAGCAGAGCGAGCAATACACAAAGAGGAATAGGATAAACCCTGGTCGTATAGCATGGCTAAAAGAAATTAATGGCAAC